AATCTGCAAAACAAACAAAACGAAAGGGGTCGTTTATCGATCATACGGCTTTACATTGCTCTGCCCCCTCCGTGAATTTGTCGTTTCTCCCGTTCTCTCTCTCTCTCCCCCCCCCCCCCTCTCTTTCTCTATCTCTATCTCTCGTTATCACTCTTCTCCTCTTCCACTCTCGCCAGGTCTCCTCTTCTCTCTTTTTCAAACTAGTCGAAAACCGAAATGTGCAGCCGACCGGTCGCAGCGGAGCGGGCTGCAGGGGGAGGAAGTGACAACGGCTTGTCACTCGGGGTGACGGTACAGAGACGATTCTGCCAGCCGGGAGAGGGATAAAGAGAAAGAGAGTGAAACTAAAGGAGAGGAGAGGAGAGCAGAGGAGAGGCGAGGACGGAACGAGAGGAGAGGCGAGTGTGGCGAAGGCTGCGCAGCGAGGATAAACGCTGCCGGTGATCGAGAGCCTCGCTCTCCAAGCGCCCGGTAGGGAGGGCACAAAAAAAAAGGTAGGACGTCGATATCGAGCTAGCAGCGACGAAAGCGCCTCGTCAATAAATCATCCAAAATAGCACTCGGTATAAAGCGGAAGTACGATTGGGTGCTGTGTATACCCGTGGCCAACGCACGCTCGGAACTCGCGGTAAACAGTGTCGCGCTCTCGAACGGGCCTGCACGTGCGGAATGGCGGCAAAATACGTGTCTCGTATGTGATCATTTGTTTGTCTAAATTTATTTGATGTTTGACGAAGAGGAGCGTCGCGGTGTGTGGGATTTCGCGCGCGCGCGCGTTTCACCGCGAGTTCGCGAGGTGGCGCGCGCACTTCTGCGCTGCTCGTGAAGAAAACGCATCGCGCCGCGAGTTTCGCACTTCCGATATTGTACATCGGTTTATCGAATGGAACAACCAACCCGAAAAGTTTCATTTCCGCGAGGAAACTCAATGGGGGATCGTCGCGAATGAAGTTCCAGCAAAATATCCATCGTCATTAGACGATTTGCCAAATTAACCATTTTCCGTTAATATCTATGTTTAGGAAATCTAATTCGCGAAAATATTAACGTCCGATGCGAAATATCGACAAGAGAGAGCATTCATTATTCAAGTATTCTCGTGGAGCGCGGCGAGAGAGATTTTCCATGTATATATAGTCTCGGGTGATTAAAATTTTATTAAAATGCCGAAGATTGAACATCGCGCGCGGGGCCGAATAATCTTAATCTATATGTGAAAAAGAATTACGGAAGGAGAACGCATTAATTGGTCGTAGAGCGGCTATAGGCACGATATCCGATTATACATTTCGCACTTGCGAGCGAGAAGGGTTGTGTCCAATATTAAATCGGATTCGTATCGTATACGAAATTGCGTTCGAGCTGGATTATTCCGAGGATCGATCCTAACGGCGGGATTTGACGAAACACAAAATTTCTCTTTTATTTCGCGCCGTTTCTCTTATCGTTCCCTGCAATTGTTCCCAGAATCGAGAACGCCCGGACACTTTCGAAGATTACGCGGGTTTTCGGTGTGCATGGCTCCACGATAGCGGCAACTATAGCCAGTAAGATTTCATCGCGAGTGGCTCTCAAGGTATCGCCCGCCCTGTGATAAAATATGGCGGAACTTAAATAAGTTTAAGAGATGCAACCGAATGATAAGCGAACTCGCAGAATTGAGTACCGCGGAAGCATCACGTCGAAGAAACCCACATCCGGAAATGAATGTGGCATCGCGCTTTTTACAAGCGCCAGTTATGACATCTTAATGAATGCATTCATTACTATTCCCGGTAGAAATGTACGTAGTTTGCGTAGATATCTACGAAGTTGTTGTCTGCAGTATTAATGTATTCTCATTAGTTGCTAAGATATTGCGTAGCAATTAGACAAGAACTTGATGGAGTTTTACTAAATAATTAAAGCAGTTTACTCCATAATAAGTGGGCAGATTTTTTCTAACATCAATATAGTATCAATTATATTAATTCGGTTTTATAATGTGCATATATTATAATGTCTATCGTAAATAAATTTAAAACATATTAATCGATATGAACAATGGCTAAATCATCAAAAGCATTGAATAAAAAAAGAAATTGTAGGAGATAAAGCCTTTGGCAATATTAAGTCTTATAGCAGAAATGGTAACCAAAGTTAAAAATAAAAATGAGCAAAAAAGTATATATAAATTAAATGGAATATATGTACAAATGGAATATATATTAATAATGCAGAATTTTTTCTTGCGATATCAGAACACATTAAGTTATTCTGGTAATTATTACACACACTACTACACACACACACACACACACACACACACACACACTATTATTATGGTAATAATATAAATGAAAACTGTCATGATCGCTCAGACGCAGACAACCTGATAAAATAATACAATTATAAGAATAGATAAAAAGAGAAGATAATAAGAAGAGAAAATAAGAAGAGATAATGAGAAGAGAAGGTAAGAAGAAGAGAATAGATAAAAAGAATAGATAAAAAAGACATATATTATTTGATGGTTGTGAAAAATGTCACGTAAAAGGCGAAAAATATGAGAAAATATGTTTGTATTAAAAAGTTCTCTTGCGTTTTAACTTTCATTAATATTAAAATTTTTCAATAAGAAAGCATGTACAGAAACAAAAATACTGCTAGGCTAAATCTGTCCATTTTATAAACGGCAGACTTGATTATTAATAAATTTAGTAGTTTTTCATCTATTTCTGTTCTATTTTCGTAAATGGATATTCATATTTCGCGTATCTTTCATGAACAGTAAATGTAGGAAAAGTGTTATATGTTGATCTCAAATAGTTTTACTCTTCAGTTACTAGACAAAAGTTAACATAACTGTCCGACACAACTGCTCGAAAACTGCAATAAATTTCTACCAGAGTTCTACCGAGATAAATGGCCTTTCGATGCTAAGGAAATGCACAGTACATGCCTCGGTGCTTTGTCTCGGTACATGCTCGCAGTTTTGACATTTGTTCGATTGTCTATGTGTGTGTGTGTGTGTGTGTAAAAAAGGTATTAATTTTACGTTCTAACAAAATTTCTCTCGTTTCCTGCATGCGCGTATTTTCTCTTCCAAAAGATTATCTTCTACAAATTATAAAATCTGAACACGTAAGTGTGATTGATTACTTTAAGTGATTAATTGTTACGTATCATTTTCGCGATCCATATCCATGTCCTAGTGGCTTTTGTGAAATCTTCGTATGAGAAATATTATTATAAGATATAAGTCGTTGTTATTATAAAATATGATATACGCGTCCTGTATAATTGCTCGCGTTCAACGCTACGCAAATATCATATGTTACTACAACGATCGCGCGCGAGTCTTTTTGCTTCTACTGTTGTTATGAAGTACGTGAACGTTGCAGTCGGTATGCTAATCACAAATTAATTTCAGCGAAAAAAGAAGTCGCACGCGCCAGTGTGCGAAATGTAAAACAGGCAATTAAGAACACATTATTCACAATTAGAAGCTCCACAGTGATTACTAGGACGTGCGAACTGACCCGCTCCCTCTTTGTCATTCAGCTGGCCGATCGAGTCATGGCCGATGTAATTTTCAATCAACGAGACGTGGTTTTTTAATGCAGAAAGCGCTCGCTATAAAATAAAGCGAAAACGTCAATACGAAGTGATAAATGTGGCGCAACTTGTGCATCTCTTCAGTCAATTGGACAAATTGGTGGAAAGTTCAGTATTGATACTTTGCTATTTTGCGAATTCTAATAATAATGTTATTATCACTTCACAGCTGAATGAATGTTTTCACATTTTCCCGACGATATTTGTGAATTTCCACGTTAACTTGTTTCACGAGGGAACAAATGTTACGCAAGAGGATTATCAATCCCATTGCTTGTTGCCTACGTGCATTAAAGTTTACACGAATATCAGTATGCTGTACTCTTGTATTATTTCCTCACACAGTGAATGCATTATGAAAAATAATCGCCCGTAGACAATACAATATTCTAGATGGAAAAATGTTACAGTCTCTTTTGATAGTATTGACATCGCGTACAATACCATCTGAAATGTCGCTTTTAACGTCCATCTAGATAAACAAACTAAATAAATGTCTTCAATGTTCTCTCTTTTACTTCTACAACTTGTCAGATATGTTTTAATTATACATTTAGACATGTATTTTAAATACTTGACTATACAGGACATTAATTGCAACTCACAACGCTATGGTGGAGCATATTGATCTTAAATGCTAAGGTTTCAGTATGAGAGAACAAGTTGACAAGCACTCAGACACTTATCGAACGGCGCTACTTTATACAAGGAACACTGACATAATCATTACGTCATCATTAGTGTTTGCTGTCATCTAGATGACATAATTATATAGATCAACCAGATGAAGTTTTTGCGTTATATTATTTTTATTTAGATAATGGCCTGGTTTACATCGTGCACTTGATACGCGTACTAAATAGTAACTTTCTATTAGATAATCTTAATATCGACAATGCATATCAACAGCGACGCATTCTATCAATATGTTTTGTTGATGAATATTATACCAGCTTAATATATTGTTGTTTATATATATCGTCCATATTAAGATTATCTAATAGAAAGTTACTATTTAGTACGCGTATCAAGTGCACGATGTAAACCAAGCCAATAAAAGTACATATTATCTTCACTTGCATCTTAGGAAGAAAGTGCTAACTTCGCCAAATTATCTAGGATGACGTTCAGATAATTTGGTCTATATATTACTGTAAGTATGTAAAGTATTGATACTGCATAGAAAAAGAGGTTTGGTTGAATTAACCAAATATCTGGTCGAATATGAACGATCCAGAAATTCCGACTAA